TCTGTCAATGAAGGTTAGTTTTGCCTATTCCAGAAAGGTACAAAAATAGAATCTTACGGAATGTACTTTTTGATGTCTGCTCTTTCATTCAACATTATATCTAAGAGATCCATCCATGTTTCCACAAGTAGCAGTGGTTTGTTCTTTTTTATTGATAGTTGTGTTCCATTGTATGAACATGACATGATATGTTTATGTAATGTTTAACAGACAATGGGTTGGTTCCAGTTTGGGGCTACTAAGAAGAAAGTTATCGTGAACACTCGTGTTCATGTCTTTTCTTAGATATATGCACACATTTCTCCAGGGTATACAACTAAGAGTAAAGTCCCTGGACTCTAGGGGTAGACATGTGGCTATATTTAGAACATATGGTCAAACATTTCAGAGTTTTGATACAAGTTATCCTCCCACCAGCAATATATAAGAGTTCCAATTATAGCACATCAGCATGAACATGGGATTTTCAGAGTTTTGTTTTTCCATTTTGGTATAATGTATTAGTAATTCATTTGTGGTTTTAATTTTTATTTCCCATACAACTAATAAAGTTGAGTACCTATTCTCACGACCACATGGAAATCCTCTTCTGTGAAGTGACTGTTCAAACATTTTCCCCATTTAAAAAATATTTAGGGTGTCATTCTTTTTCTAATTTTTAAAATACTCTGGGTATAAATCCTTTCATTGATATATTAACTGCAAATATTTCTCCCAGTCTGTAGCTTTCCTTTTGATTAGCTTAAATGGTATATTTTTATAAATACGTGTTGAAATATTAATTTAAATAAAGATCTATTTATCGACCTCTTATAATTAGTGATTTTTGTGTCCTATTTTTAAAATTGTGTGCAGAGATCAAGGTCATAAAGATTTACTCTTATGTTTTACACAGAAGATTTACAGTTTTATTTTTCACACTTCTTTCTATAATCCATCTCACATTACTGTGTGTAAACAACTTGTAGGGAACAAGTTGCATTTTCATCCAACTGAATATCCATTTCATCTAGCATCAATTATTGAGATTATCCTTTTCCTGCTAAATTAAGTGGCACTCTCACATGATCATATAGGTGTGACTCTGTTTCTAAACTCTTCTATTCCATTCTGAGTTGCTAACCATGTGCCAATACAACACTGTCCTAATTATTAGAGCTTTAAAGTTGTCTTTTTTTTTTTAATTTTTTGTTTATTGCAGTAACATTGGTTTATAACATTGTATAAATTTCAGGTGTACATCATTATACTTCTATTTCTGCATAGATTACATCATGTTCACCACCCAAATACTAATTACAACCCATCACCACACACATGTGCCGAATTATCCCTTTTGCCCTCCTTCCTCCCCCCTTCCCCTCTGGTAACCACCAATCCAATCTCTGTCTCTATGTGTTTGTTTATTGTTGTTATTATCTACTTCATGAAGGAAATCATATGGTATTTGTCCTTCTCCTTCTGACTTATTTCACTTTGCATAATACCCTCAATGTCCTTCCATGTTGTCACAAACGCCTGGATTTCATCATTTCTTAAGTCTTGATATCTGATGTGTAAGTCCTCCATCCTTCTTCTTCTTCTTCAATATTGTCTTGAGTATAATATCTTCTTTGAATTTCCACACAAATTTTTGTATCAATTGGTCAGTTTCCACAGAAATTCTGATAAGATTTGATTGAGCATTCATTAACTCTACAGGGCATTTGATAACTGACACCTTAACAATATATTTTTTTTCAATTTAATAACATGGTACAACTCTCCATGTATTTGGGTATTCTTTAATTTCCCCCTCCCAGCAATATTATGTAGTTTGCAGTGTTGAAGTGTTGCACATTATACCTTAGATTTATTTGTAGGTATCTGAGGGGGTTTTTAGGTTATTTTAAATGGTTATTTTAACAATATCATTATCTAATTATTTATTGTTAGTATGAAGAAATAAAATTCATTTTTGTATCCAGTTCCTATGGCCACACTTCTTTATCACCAGCAGTACGTTTCTATTCAGCTACACATTTATACCCTCAAGACCTAAATAGAACATTCTTAGCAGTTTACTTTGTTTATTTTTCTTTCATGACTATTTGGAACTAATTCTGTAAAGTTTCTATTCTTTGTCATGTGCACCCACTAAAGCCTCTGCTCAGTTAGCTTACTGCTCATCCAATAATTAGATATTTCCTTAGTAGTCTAGAACCAATACATCTCCTAGTCTCTACAAAAGGCTCAGTGTGTATGTTGGAGCATGGCTTCAACACTCATCTAGCCAATTTATTATTATTTATTATCCTCCCTTAGCCTTCACCTCCTGCACACACAGAGACTCAAGGGTAACCAGAGGTGAGAGCTTAGGGTCTTCTCAGGTCTTTCTGAGCGTGTGTGGACTTCTAGTGTCTTATGAATATGTCAGAATTTTTCAAAGCCTCGTATGAACTTCTCATTCTCCAGCTTTTTCCTTTAACCTTTTTGGTTAGTCTATTGATGATCCCAACTGTTATCCACAGCTTCAGGCATCCAGGCTCTTCAAAAATGGCCTCTAATTGTTTCGAACAAATGCCCCTGGGGAAAAGGTTGATTGTACTGGGCAAGCTCATAGTCACATCAAATAAAGACAATTCTGCATGTGGGGTCTTCCAGGGAACTGCAAGACAAGTCAAATAATGACAATTCTCCAGAAATAGGGCTTTGAAGAAGCTCCAACTCCATTCTGCCACCTCCAGTGTTGTTAGACTGCTGCTTTTCGCCATGTTTATGGGTTATCGCTTTCTAAGCTACTTCAGAGTAGAGGAGATAAAGGAAGGGAATAAGGCAAGTTAAAACATCAGAAAGCTCACTGTTCTTACTGAGATTTATCCATCTTGCCTGAATAAACATTCTGCAGATTGACGCAAGCCTTTGGCTAATTTCTAAGTTCTGAAAAAATTGATATGATAATTTTTGCCTGTGCTTTCATTTACATTGAGACAATATTCTGAAGTTATTACTCCACCAATTTTGCTGACATCCTTCAGTCTAACATTCAATAGAACTAATGAGAGTGTATATCCTTACTTTTTTCAAACTTATGGGAAATGGGTTCAATATTTCACCATTATATAAGCATTGTCTAGGATTTTGGAGATATCCCTTTTCAGATTTAGGAAATACCCATATTTTTCTCAACTTGCTAGAATGTTTATCATAAACAAGTGTTGAACTTTCTCAATTTTTTCTACATTTATTGAGATCACATGTTTCATTAGCTGGGATTTTATTTTTACTGTGTGCTACATATTGTCCATCAAATAATGCAATGATAATTTGAGGCTCTGGATGACATTAGCTTTCTCCAGCCAAAAGTATGCTCTCAGCAAGCAGAAAATGTTTAGGGGTGGATCAATGTAATGTAATCAGTGATTGACATTATTTAAAGAGGACTCTAGTCTTATAAGGATTCTTCAACTTCAGGCTGATTCTTAACCCTTGGTTGCAGAACTTAATTGTCACCTTCAGGCTTCAACTGAGGTCAAAGTGTTTACTTGATCTTTCCTACTCAGCTAGTTCTGACTGTCATTTAGGAGCATTAGAACCTGAAAAGAGTTTTTCGCACATTCCCGGGGCTAGTAGGAAATAATTGGACTTTTGTAATCAGCCTTTCGCGTCTCAGCTCTTGATCTCAAATGAGCAATCACCTCAAGGGTAAAATCACGTAAAAAATCAGTCTTACCAATATGGATTTCCTAAACCCTCTACTATGTTGTCCTCACAAATCCTCACAGCACTATTACTTTCCTATGCTGACAAACAAATATATATATAAATATATGTGTGTATGTGCGTGTTTGATGAGTCAGACAGACAGAGATATAGACATAGATATAGATGTTATTTCTGAAAATTTCTGGTCATTGCATTGAAATATTATTTGCAGATGATAGAAGTTGCTACTTGAAAATTCCATGAAAGGTAATCAAAAATTACTAAATCTACCAAAAAATTCAATCATAATATATGCAAGAGTTTGGTCAAATAGTGTTTCTATTACACTCATGATAGAAAAGTAAAAGTATATAATTTTTAGTGCATTTAGTATCTATGAAAAATATATAATTTTAGTGCTTTAGTATCTATGAAAAATAAATGTGCACATATATGTGCAGCCATATCACATCTAGGAAACTATCAAGAAGAAATAGTACAGGAATAATAAAAGATATATGCAAGTGATAGAATGTAACAAAACTTCAAAAATTCAAAAATAATCTAAATATCATTGAATAGTGAGATACTTTTAAAATTATTATGTATTATAAAATTATTATAGCCATATAAGCCATTATTATGAGATACATTTATTTATACTGCTTGTATACCTATCTATATGTTACTATATAAATGTCACCATCAAATCATAGATGTATTATATATAAAAATATATGTGTATATGAACATATATTTATATTACATATAAATACATCTGTGTGTGTATACATGCATATGTGCACAAACATACACATAAAAACACACATATATTTCTGTACGTGTATGTTTAAATACAACCATTCATACATATTATCTTCCCCTCTTCTTTGCCTTAATATATCTGTGTATGCATGTCTTTAACCACTAGATGAAAAGAGGAAAGACATCTTTGGACAGACTGACAAATTCAAGTTTTATCTCATGTTATTCCCTCTGAGTGGAATGATTTTCCTCTGTTTTCTCCCTACATGTATACACATATACATACATACACCTATACAAACATACCTGTCACATTTTAATAACCATAGGGAAAATACAGAAATTATACATGCCAAACTGTCAAGAGATCATTCCCCTGGAGAACTAGATAGAAGTAAGAGATGAATGAATCTCACATTTTATTATTTTTAGAAAAGTTTTACCTCATGGGATAATTTCTAATTTTCAATTTTTAATAAAAAATATGATGTTTTCAAGGTGCCTTCTATTTTGTACACACTGCCGATGAGATGTAGCTTAAGATCTAAAAATTGTATTACAAAAAGGAGTTTATTGAAGACAAAACAGTGAGCTTTATTTCATGCAGGGAAATTAGAACTGAACCTTGAAGGATGAGGAAAATTGGAAGAGACAGGGCTTAGGAATGTCATTTCTGCTCTTAAGGGAGAGGTGGATAATAGCTAACACACAGGAGAGAAAGCATCTGGCTTGTTCAGATGAGGCTAGAGACTCTTGATCTGAGATCTGGCAGCCTGCCCTTTCTTCAGACTGGAATGAAGCAGAGCTCATAGAAGGGCGGTACAGAGCCTATCCCACTGAAAACTGGGGTGGTGTCAATGTCTTTTGGATCAACCAGAGGTTTCAAGGTAAAATGCTGTATGATGTTGGTCAGGAGTAAAAACAGCTCCATGCGGGCCAGGCCTTCTCCAAGACAAACTCTTTTTCCTAAAAATGACACATAAAACAAATATTCATTCAATTCTATTTCTGAGTTAGCACACAGGGAGGCTTAAATAAATGTGGAATGAATAAAGAAATATATTAATAAATGACTAACTAACCTATGGCTTCTTCCATCTACACCCAAACCCGGTTTCCTTCATTTCCTCAGCACATATTTCTGTGACACATGCCATATGGAAAAAACTTTTCTGTATACCCACATTGAAATTGCTTTGCTGAGGCTTGCCAGTGATGTCTTTCTACACACACACACACAAACACACACTCACCTATTTCAATTGGCATGAGACACACATTAGACTTTTCCATCTACCTCCCAAGACTGAACAATAGATTTATTTCTCTTTATCTGGATTCTGAAGGACAATCTTAAACTCGTCACGTCCCAGCTTTAAAAAATTTCAAGAGCTTAGCATTGGTAAGTATAAAAAGACAAATCACAAACTAGCCACAAGAAGTACTAATTATTCACTACTCCCCCAAACAGAATGGCAATTTGAAATGTTATCTCAGATTCCATTCATTCCTTCACTGAAACAGTCTCCCCCTCTGGTCCTCCTGCTGATATTCTCTACATGCTTCTAGATCCACCTCAGATGCCATTTATTCTATGCAAACTTCCTTCACCTGCTCAGGGTGTACAATTCACTCCCTTATCTGTTCTCCACAACGCTCACTAATGCTTCTAATACAGCACAGTTCACACAAAACTGTACTAATTCATCTGTCTCACAGACTGGAATATAAACTCTTCAGATAAGGCCTTAGATCTTGTATTGATTCCCACAGTGTCAGGACAAAAGCAGGCCTGCAAGCCTTGCGAAATGAATAGAAATCTCGAGCAGGCTCATTCTGCAATAGTGGACCCAAAACACAGGAAGAAAGATCAGGAGCAGTACAGCAGCATCTTGCTTTGAGATCATCCTGGACACTGATCATAATCCTGGGACCACAATACAAAGGGTTGCTCGATACCTATTTTCTTAGATATTCAACCAGGAGCAGATCTATTTTTGTCCCTGTTTCAGTTACTCCAGTATGAAAGGCCCTTCACCCTCTGCTCTTCCCCCTGCTTCTCCTTTGGACTGTGCTGAATATTCTCCATTCCTCCCTCCTCCAGATCCATTCTGTGTTTGTTTGTCTCATGCCTATGCTGTGTTTGGGAAGCTGATTCTAGGGACTGCATAAACCCGGAAGTTATTTCCATTTTGGGTTCTGAATAAATTCAGAGGATTACGTATTGAAGAGGTCAGAGTATTTATTCCCTCAATCCTCCCTGCCAGACTACAGTTTAGGCACCAGCTGTATTCCTCTATCTATAGATGCATCTATTGTTCAGGCATGCACTCTCTCTTTGCCAAAGGTCTATCTTGGTTCCAGTAATTCTAGTAACACCCCTTCTGACCTAGGGTGGTAACATCTTCCTGCTGATGCTCATCTCTGAGCAAGTCACCATAACTTGTTACTTCCCTTAATTCTGCCCACATCTCTGAAAACAGTCTCTTCATTAAAATTACTTTAATTAACCTTCTTTTGAGTGTGCCAACTGTTTCTTTCCAGGACCCTGCCAAATTGAAGGAAGATACTCAAATGTTACTTCCCGCAAGAAAATTTGCCTTACCCTCCAACTACTCTTCCCCCTTCCCCTGTCCCCAAAGGGCAAGAGTCAGAAGTTACTCTCTATGGGCTTCCACTGTGGCCCCTCAAAAACCTTTGTCACTCAGGTGTCTCATGGCCTAAGTCGCCTTCCCCTCTCTTAGAGACATGATGTGTTTCTGATTCATATTTGTATCCCTGAATTTGAGCATGGATCTGCTACATATAAGGTCCTCAGTGAAGTTTATTAAGTGAACTGGCTTTTCAAGGCAGGTGAAAAAAAACTTACTGGAATTGGACTTCCAGCAGGAGCTCTTAAGAATCTTAGCGGTGGGTTATGGGGCAAGCTTAGTGAGGACAGACTCCAATCCAATTAGAAATAACCTGGACTTTGGGAGTGGTGCCTCAGGCCTCATACAAATGACAATTTGTCCTGCCCAGAGTAGCCTCCATGCAAAGCTCTTCCTAATCTCACTTGACCCCTGATATAAGGATAAAAATGAAGCTTGCTTGCCTGCTGAAAAAGCCAGGAAGTAGTCACTCTTCTTAAAGTTGCCCCTTTCATCAAGGAAGTGGCCAGGATCAAACTGCTCTGGGTTGGGAAACTCTTTGTCATCGTGCAGGACAGACGTTAGGGACGTTAATATGTTTGTGCCCTGATACAAACAGAAACAGATAAACTGGGTTACAAAGAAGGTCATGGAGCTTGAAAACAAAAAAGCCCCTCATCTAGTCATTTTGCTTTATAGACGAGGAGATTGAGGCACAAAAAGGAGAATTTATTTGTTCTATGTCACACAAATTAATGACCGAGTCTAACAGGTTTTATATCATATAATGTCAGTCCAGGCACTTTTCCTGGACTCCAAAGCCATCCTCTTCAGTTTGTAGCTGGACACCAACACTTCCTTTTAAGAAAATTCACAGAGCTCTATGGAGTGCATTATTCTTAACAAAGAAATGGCAGTATTGTCTAAAAGTGTTGATATCACTGAAAATCAATCTCATTACTTAGATCCAAATATTCAGTCTTCTTCAAAATTCTACCTTAATGGCTATGTTCTTGAAAACTCTTCACTTTCCTATCAAGACGAGAAACTTGTTATGTAAGTATCTCCCACCTTCTGTAATATTCTTTCAATTGAAATGTTGCATAATCTTGTGGAAATGAGAGAGCATTTATGGTTTCTAGTAGGGTTTTCCAAAACTCAGAGATATAGTGTAACACAATGATTTGGAGTTTAGTTTTCAGAATCAATCAAATCTTTCTCTCTATGACCACAGGTAAGTGTTTAACATTGCTATGCGTAATTTTCATCACTAGTAAAATGTAAACAACATTTGGATTAGTTTATAGTAAACAAAAAATAGGATAATATATTAAATACTTCTCATACAAATATTACCACATGCTAAAATGCTCAATAAAGAGAAGCTTTTTTACTGTTATGATAAGGATTTCATTTACAATACCTTGGGATCTTTTAATAAAGTCGTACATTTATTACACAGCAGAGACAAAATTCAAATCCACATCTGTCTGAATGCTTTCTGGTATATGGTATGGGTTTTCCAAATATGTGATGTAGTTATTTTTCCAGAAAGCTCATGGATAGAATGCATAGACTGTCATTTCCATATGGAAAAATGAGAGAGAACCTGAAGTTTCAATATTTCCTGACCGTCTTCCCTATAACACAACTACTCTCGTGATTCATTTTCTGCCCTGTGTGGACTTAGAGAAATGCCCTGAGCGTGAAGTATAGGAAGATAGTATGCTCAGCCCTAGAACAGGCTTCCATGTAAAGTTAATCTGTGACAAAACACTTCTCCTGGCTGATGAGAACATCTAATTCAGGCTTTGATAGAGTAGCTGCTTTGGAGTTGACCTAACAACTAAAGCAAATATACATCCAGAAAAAAATATATAAAGTAACAGTTTTCCAGCATTGAACAAGAGGCAATTCAGGATTGTGATACTTTACTAAAGAAAATAAGGTAGGTCCTGGGGGCGAGTCAAGATGGTGGCGTAGGCAGACTCTGAACTC